CTCAAAAAAAAAAAAAAAAAAAAGAAAAAAGAAAGAAATCTAACAAAAAGCACCAGAAGCCCCAGCTTCTTTCCCTCCTAGGCCTTTCCACAGTCTGTTCCCTTAGCCTGCAACTGCATTCCCTACCTTCTCACTAAGTCTCTCATCCCTCAGGACTCAATGCTCCCTCTCCAGGAGCCCTCCCTGACCCCTTGGGCTGCATCAGGTGCCTCCTGGGTTGGATTTGCCCTCTAGGCTTCCCCAAGCACAATCTGAGCATGCTCTGCCCACTCTTCCCCCAACCAGAGCCCTAGACCTTCGGTCTATGCTGCCCCCATCACAACCCATCACTCTGCCCTGAGTTTCCCCTCTCCCAGCCATCACCAGTCTCAACTATTAGCGTCTGGGGACTTCTCTCTTCACCACTAGATTGTGTGCTCCATAAGGGCAGAAACTGGGGCTGATTCAGTCACTGCCATGCCCCCAGCATCGTCTGCCTCAGTCGGGCTTAGAGGAGACGTTGGTCCACAGAAGTCAATGGAATCCCCACCCGGGAAGACAGCTGGGGCGTCACTCACGGAACATGGCATCCAGCCTGACCAAGCAGCTGATGAAGTTGTCAAAATCCATGTTCCCACTTTCATCTGAGTAGCGTCTGATGATCATGTTGTAGAGATGCTCGTTCAGGTGGAACCCTGAGATGGATTTCATCCTTCAGGTGTGGGGGTCACATGGCCCAACCCACTCCCATGCCCAGGAGTCAGGCCCAGACCAGCTGAGTGGGGATTTTCTCACCCATCCCACTCCCAGCCCCACCACGTCCCTGCTGGCCATACCTGCCGCCTCAAAGGCCCCTGGGAGTTCACTGCTGCAGATAGTCCCTGACCGGTCAGTGTCAAACTGTTTGTATATGGCCTGAGGGGACAGAGAGATGGGGTCCAAGTGAGTATGGTGGGGCATGGTGTCTCCGTGGCTAGGGGGTCTGGGTACCAGCCATTTCAGAGGCTGCTACACACCTGCCACCTTTTGATGTTGTTCCACAGGTACTTGAACTCCTCGAATCCCAGCTTGCCTGTGGTGTCGCTCTGGTGGGAGGGTGTTAAGAAGAGTGACAGCTACACCCAGATGCACGCACCGCATGCAGTGTGGACACGATGGTGACACAGCAAGCAGGGGAGCCAGGGCTGACACTCCAGCTCCTGCTCAGCCCTCGTCACGTCACCTGGCATGTGGTTTCATTTTTCATTTTATGCATACATATTTTCACATATATTTCTAAATAAGGATTCTCTTTAAACATAACCATCAGGAATTATATTCAACTACTCTAAAGTATAAATTCGTTGCCTGAAAAAAGTTGTTAATTGCTCATTCAGAAAACTCTTGATAGGCCAGGCACAGTGGCTCACACTTGTAATCCAGCACTTTGGGAAGCCGAAGTGGGTGGATCGCTCTGGAATCAGGAGTTCAAGACCAGCCTGGCCAACACAGTGAAACCCTGCCTCTACTAAAAATATAAAAATTAGCCGGGTGTGGTGGCACACACCTGTCATCCTAGGGACTCAGGAGGCTGAGGGAGGAAAATCGCTCAATCCTAGGAGGTGAAAGTTGCAGTGAGCTGAGATGGTGCCACTGTACTTCAGGCTGGGCAACAGAGTGAAACTCTGTCTCGGCCGGGCACGGTCGCTCACGCCTATAATCCCAGCACTTTGGGAGGCCGAGGTGAGTGGATCACAAGGTTAAGAGATCGAGACCATCCTGGCCAACATGGTGAAACCCTGTCTCTACTAAAAAATACAAAAATTAGCTGGGCGTGGTGGCACGCACCTGTAGTCCCAGGTTCCCAGGAGGCTGAGGTAGGAGAATTGCTTGAACCCAGGAGGCAGAGACTGCAGTGAGCCAAGATTGTGCCACTGCACCCTAGCCTGGTGCCTGGCAACAGAACAAGCCTCTGTCTCACAAAAAAAAAAAAAAAAGGCCGGGCGTGGTGGCTTACGCCTCTAATCCAAGCACTTTGGAGGCCAAGGCGGGCAGATCACCTGAAGTCAGGAGTTCAAGACTAGCCTGACCAACATAGTGAAACCCTGTCTTAAAAAATAAATAAATAAATAAATAAAAAGGCCAGGTGCAATGGCTTACGCCTGTAATCCCAGCACTTTGGGAGGCCGAGGTGGGTGGATCACCTGAGGTCAGGAGTTCGAGACCAGCCTGACCAACATGGAGAAACCCCATCTCTACTATAAATACAAAATTAGCCAGGTGTGGTGACACATGCCTGTCATCCCAGCTACTTGGGAGGCTAAGGCAGGAGAATTGCTTGAAACCAGAAGGTGGAGGTTGCAGTGAGAGGAGATCGTGCCACTGAACTCCAGACTGGCGACAGAGGGAGACTCCATCTCAAAAAGAAAAACAAAGAACTAATGTGTACAGACCAAGTACTATGCACTATGCACTGTGCTAAACCTTTTGCATGTACTTCCAATTCAGTATCACCATTATCATTCACCCATTTTACAGATAGGGAAATTGAGGCACAGAGAGGTTCAGCAACTTGGTTAAGGGGTAGAGTTGAGATTGCTTCACTCAAATGTAATATGTCTGTGAATATCTCACATGACACATATATATGTGTGTGTCTATATTGTCCTGTGTGTTAAATGTGCATGAGGCCAGGTGCAGTGTCTCAACCCTATAATCCCAACACTTTGGGAGGCTGAGGTGGGAGGATTTCTTGAGGTCAGGAGTTCAAGACTTGCCAGGTCAATATAGTAAAAGCTTGTCTCTATATTTTTTTAAAACAAAAATAAATAAAAATGTACATGTATCCAAGATCAGCTAACGGCTGGCCCACGTACAAATGTAAGTGTGTTCCTGTGCACACTGCTTCATACACGTTCATGTATGTGGGCATGCTCTTGGGGGGGGGTGTGTATATGTGCATGTGACTGTTATAAACTGGGTTCTCAAGCCCAAAAGACCTGAGTCCAAATTCCTATCCTGCCACCTGCTCTTTATTTATAATCTTTTTTTTTTTTTTTTTTTGACAGTCTTGCTCTGTCGCCCAGGCTGGAGTGCAGTGACTCAATCTCCGCTCACTGCAGCCTCCACCTCCTGGGTTCAAGTGATTGTCCTGCCTCAGCCTCCCGAGTAGCTGGGACTACGGGTGTGCATCACCACACCCGGCTTATTTTTCGATTTAATAGAGATGGGGTTTCACCATATTGGCCCGGCTAGTTTTGAACTCCTGACTTCAGGGTCTCCCAAAGTGCTGGGATTACAGGCATAAGCCACTACACCAGGTCATAACTTTTTTTGAGATGGAGTCTAGCTCTGCTGCACAGGCTGGAGTGCAGTGGTGCAATCTTGGCTTGCTGCAGCCTCTACCTCCTGGGTTCAAGTGATCCTCCTGCCTCAGCCTCCTGGGTAGCTGGAACTACAGGTGCCCACCACCATACCTGGCTTATTTATTTATTTATTTTTCCCGAGATGGAGTCTTGCTCTGTCACTTAGGCTGAAGTGCAGTGGCATGATCTTGGCTCACTGCAACTTCTGCTTCCCAGGTTCAAGGGATTCTTCTCCTGCCTTGGCCTCCTGAGTAGCTGGGACTACAAGTGCCTGCCACCACACCTGGCTAATTTTCATATGTTAGTAGAGATGGGGTTTCACCATGTTGGCCAGGCTGGTGTTGAACTCCTGACCTCAGGTAATCTGTCTGCCTCGGCCTCCCAAAGTTTTGGGGTTACAGGTGGAGCCACCACGCCCGACCTTTATTTGTAACTTGAGACAAATGGCTTCAGTTTCCTCATCTGTAAAATGGAGTATAATAATTGTGCCTGTCCAACAAGGTGGTTGCGAAGATTTGGTCACTTTATATAATTAAAGTGCCAGCTGTGACAGTGGTATTGTTATGATTTGCTGCCACATGTCTGTAGGTGAGTTTGTTCTGACGTATGCATTTACACATCTGCAGATACAAAGGCTACACTTTGGCTTCCCAAACATACTCTTAAAAAACTCCCCGTGCACCCAGAGCCTCCCCCACACTACCGCCAAGGATACATCCATCACGGCCACCATGCTGCGACATGTGTCAATGCCAAAACCATCAGTCTTCAGATCAGGGTCTGTGGGTGACAGGTTAAAAGTCAGAGGCCAGAGGTCAAAGCCACTCCAGCCCCTCTGCCTCTAAACCTGCCTTATGCCTTGACCCCGGTCACTTACGTCGTGTCACGACCTTGTTGAGAATGTTCATGAGTTCTGTGGCACTGACCTCCATGTCCTGCAGGCGGAAGTTACGGGGAGGTCAGGGGTGACTGAAAGGGGTCTGAAAATGTCATGGAGAATGGGAACACTGGGATTGTTACATAACCACAAGGGAAGGGATGGAAGGGTTAGGACCGGGTCAGGGACCCCAGATTACTTACATCTCCAGCCAGCTGGGCAAAGAGTCTCCGGAACTGCCGGACCTCCTCACTCTCGTTGGCCTCAATGTTGGAGTAATGTGTGCGTGGGGGCTGCAGAGGGAGGAGAGCTCAGAGTGGTGGGGGGACGGGACCCGCCCAGGACAGCTCCTCACATCCAGGCATCCTGGGTGGGGAAGTCATAGTGGGCTGGGCAGCTTGATGAGAAAAAGAATGAGGGGTGGCAGCGAATGGGGAGTGTGTATGTCAGGGATGGCTAAAACCCATGGCGAAGTTGCGGACATGGCCCGGGAGGAACTGGCAGAGGAATGACACAAGAAGGGGTGGAAGGTGGGGCTTCCCTAAAGGAACAGGGATGGGACCTCGAAGAGGCCCTGAAGGGAGAAGTGGGGCTGGCTGCAGAGGGGGCTTACCGGGGGCTCCGGGTTATACTGCGCAGCCGCCTCGCTGGAAGAGATAAGGGGGAGGGGTTAGCGCCTGGGGGCGGGGCCTCCAACGGGCAGAGCAGCAGAACCATTAGCCCCAAGGCCACCTTCCTTACTTGGTGGCTGTCCCCCTCACCTGTTCTTGTCTTCACCTGTCCTAATTCACACTGCCCTGGTCCTGCCCTCCTTCTCCTTTCGTCAGGCCAACCCTACCCTGGGAGGCTCCACTCCTGCCAGGCATACCTACCCAATGGCAGAGTCCAGTCATCTTGGCCACCCTCAACCTAAAAATCCCACACAGAATCAGCAGACCCTGCCGCTTGGAGAGCTCACTTTACAGAGGCTCTGCCCCAGCTTCCCAAGGCCTCATCCTCTTTAGATGCCATCTGCCAAAGACCCTACTCCATGGCCCGCTTCCTAAATGGCTATCTTCCCAACATCCTACCCCATCCATAGGTCCCCGCCCCTTCAAGGGATCACTGTTAAGTGGTCATGGCTAATTAGGCCAACCTGCCCTACCCCTATCAGGACATTTTTCGACATGAATCCAGCCAGTTTCCAGCAGGCCCAGCCCATTTAGGGCCATTTCTCCTATCCCATTAGGCCTTGGTTTCTCCTGGGCTCATACCCTCATTAACCCACCTAAAACCTCTCACCGCACTCATTAAGTCAAGCCCGTCCGTAAAATGTCACTCAGACGCATTGGCTCCGCCCCTTTAACGTTAGTTTCCAGGGTAGCCAATGCAGGCCGGGCTCAGATCTCTAAGCCCCGCCCCCAAAACGCCAGCTCAGTGCCCTGAGGAACACATTGTCCTGGACCCACACAATCAGACCACTCCCATATCATGTCCTGCCCCCAGGGACTGATATCAGCTTCATTGGGGTCCACCCCCTTATAGCAGGACTCCCAAACCAGGCCACCCCTGCCAAATTCAGGTGCCCAGGAGTGCCTCAGGTTAATTCCATTCTAGTCTAGTTAGATGACGCTCCTCCCCAGGCCCCGCCCCTTCTGAGGCGCCTCCCGCTCCTAGGCCCCGCCCCTCCAATAGTCCCCACCTCACCTGATGGCGCTGATAACTCCGCCTAGGATACGCATGGCCGTTCCACCGCCACCGCCGCCTCCACCGCCTCCACCGCCGCCGCCGCCGCCCCCGGCCCCGCTGATCAGGCCTCCAAGCACATTCCCCAGGCCCCCACCCAGGCCCCCGCCTCCCCCGCCGCCGCCGCCGCCGCCGCCCTTCAAGAATGAGTTAACCAGGAACATGGCTGCGACTCACTGCTGGGGGGAAAAAAGGGACCGGTGGTTGCGTCGCCCTGAGCTCACACCCTTCCCTCAAACAAGCATTTCCGGCAGCTGGACCTGGAGGAGGAATCTGAGGCCCCCGGTGGGGGTCTGAGCCTGCGAGGGCGGATTGTCCTCGGATGGGTGGGGCAGGAACGGGGAATCAGGCTTGCAACCTCCTGGGGTCTAAAAGGCACCCGTGGGGCTTGAGGGAGCCTGGGCTGAGTGCACGCGTTAAGGGGAGGGTGCGGGTCTAGTGGGGGTTCTCTTGGTGAGGACTCCAAGTTGGTGTAAGGCGTGCCCGACGGAACTGAATGGAAAGGTCCTTGGCGGGTCACAGGCGCGGAGCAAACATCCACTGCCTAAAGGGCCCCAGGGCGGGGTTTAGGAACTCCCAATGCGGGCTTGAGAATTTAGATGTTCCCAGCGGCAGGATTCCGGTGTCACCTTTGGGTCTGTGGGCTTGGGTCTAAGATCGTGGCTGTGATCACCGGGGTCCCGGATAATGGGGTACCCCGCTGGAACTGGGGGCACAGATCTACGATCGCGGTTCAGAACGCACCAGGGAAGAATTCACGGGGTATCTCGGAAATCTATGGGCCTGCATTTTGGATCATGAGACAGAGGGTGGGGAAGGGTCCCCGGGACGGCATAAAAGGGGGTCGGACAGGTCTGGGGGTTTGAATCTGAGACCATGGATCTGGGGACTCCCGAGGCCGAGACTTCACGGTCTCGCTGGGTCTGGGGACCGCCAGGGCCGGAATTGCAGGGTGGGAAGGGGGTAAGGGCCGGGCGCTTACCACCGCACAGGTCCGGAGGTCCCGTGGGGTCCGTTCCGCTGCCGCTCCCGGGCCTCCCGCTGCGTCCGGCTCCGAAGGGCGGGGCCGGTGACTCAGGCCGCAACTCTCCGGCCTGACTCGGCACCGCGGCACCGCAGTTGCCCGCGCGGTCCTAGAGCCGAAGTGAAAACTGCGCATACGCACCCCAACCCGCCCAGGCTGGCGGGACGCGAATCTGGACTCCGCCCTGCGCGTTTCCAGCGCTGAAGGTCCTAAGCTCGCCCTGACTCAGTAGGCTGGGGTCTGACCCACACCCCTCAGGTCTGGGTTGAGGCGCCCGCGGACGAGAACTCGGAGGGGACCCGCCCCCCTCCCAGGGTCGTAGTGTGAATTTTCGCCCCAGGGCCTGCCTATACCCTTCCAGAGTTGCGGTTTTCGGTCCACTCACTAAGGAACTCCACACGGTCCTCTCCAGGTCTTGTCGCGACCAACAGCTCCTGGAGGCCTGGAGTATGGTTTGGCTGTACGCTCCAGTGTTTGGCGAGGACTTAGGCTGGTCTGCCTTTCCCGGTGCCTGCAGCAGCTCAGATGGCAGTCAAACCGCAGGCAGGGCCTGCGCCTCCTTAAAAGCTCCCCTTACCACGCCCCCGCCCCAGTCAGGGGCCACCAGAATCGTTGTTTGCTGGACAGCCCAAAGGGTATCCTCTGTATGCCAGTCTCAAAAGTCCCCAGACACAGGAAGATTCCTTTGGTCACGGCCTGGTTTCTTTATTTACTTAAAAAAGGCCGGGCGCGGTGGCTCACGCCTGTAATCCCAGCACTTTGGGAGGCCGAGGCGGGTGGATCACTAGGTCAAGAGATCGAGACCATCCTGGTCAACATGGTGAAACCCCGTCTCTACTAAAAATACACAAAATTAGCTGGGCATGGTGGCGCGTGCCTGTAATCCCAGCTACTCAGGAGGC